CGGTTTGCATCCCAGACCTGGTGGCTTGCTTTCTCACTTTCTGTCTCTCGCTCGCTCGCTCACTCTATCCCTCTCTGGTCAAATTAAATTAAAATAAATAAATAAATAAATAAAATTAAATAAAATAATTCTTTAAAAAAAATATGGAAGGAACCACCCAGGAACCTGTTGCAGTACTCCACACCCAAAATGATGAGTTTTACACAAGAGGAAAAAAAAGGGGAATTCTACCATACGCTTTGAGGTATGCTCACTTGGCTCTTGGGTTGGGAAATCTCCTAAATTACAGTGACCAGCAAGTAGAGTAAGTACTCACTAAGGCAGGCAGTCGCCTGTGCAACTATCCATGTCCACCCTTTTCTGGACCTCAGCTTCCTCACCTACAGTGAATTGGACCTACGATTTTTAGGTTTCTTCAGCTTTCTGTGGGGTTTATGAACTTGTTAATGTCCTTCTAAAAATGGACCACATCATAACATAACCAAAACCGTTTCATAGTCCACATGTTGTCACATTGCTGAATGCTTTTTGCTAAGCACTTCATTTGAAGTTTAAGGTCAACTACTGATTTCTGTTTAACATGAGGTAGTTGTAGATTACCACTGGCATTTTGCCTTTTCCGTGCAGAAAGGACTTTGCACTTCAATTGTAAGGCTTTTAAGAACAATCAGAATAACATTTAAAAAGAAATTTTTTTTTTTGAGGTAGAAGTGAAAGCAGATAAACTTTGATCTTGGTTTGAAAGTTACGTATGTTGTGTGATTTTGTGTTGCTGAAGAAAGATAAATGTCATGTATCTCAAGAAGGTGCCAAAAGATACACCAGCACATAACTTCAATAACTCTTAAATATGTTTCAGTAAAAACATGTGAATAATTTCAATCGAACTTGTTATGGAAGGTTATAGCAAAGCAAAATAAAAATGTTGTTGACTGATCAATGTATACATTTCCAAAAAATAAAAATTAGTAGAACTATTGATAATATTGATTTTCCATAATATCATGTGAATTCAGTATTGAAGAAGATGATTATGTCTATATCTGCAGCTTATTAATGAGTACGTACTACAACATAATACACTGTATGTATGTTGTGAGAAAACATAGTATACCCCATAAGAAAATAATAACAAATTAATTAAATTGCCTATATATAAATACCTATATAGAAATGCCGTGTTAAGTAATATAGCCTTATATTTCAAAATGGTATAGACAGGAGCAAATGGTGATTTTTTTGCTAAAAATATTCTCCAAAGATACAAGTAAAATCTTTTCACTGCTTCACATTTATTGAAGTAAAATCTTTTCACCAGAAATTCAAATTGACATATATTGAGAGCTTGTTTGTGTTCAAGATATTGAACAAACAAATTACTAGGTACTGCATTTGTAGGAATATTTGCTTTCTTGTCTTCATTTAGGTAGGACCTAGAGAAATGGAAGTGGAGATCTAGAGAAATGAACTTCATTTGTCATGGAAATCTGCCTTCTAAGTCTGCTATAATAATCAGAAAAAGGTGTAACTTCTTGATAGTGAGATGAGTAACTAATAACTATTCTCTTTTGCCTTACCTTTTTGAAAGATATTCCAGTTGAATTTTAAAATATTCTTGGGTGTTGGGAAAATTTCAGAAAAAAACCCTTTCAAAAGTAATTTTTCCATGTATGTTCTAATCTTGGGATACTTTGCTGTATTGTAATGCTGCTGAGTATGTTGCACATTTTCAATGCATGTTCAAGAACACAATTACTGATTCCTAAAGAAACCAGCAAGTGAGGGGCAGCAGGTGTGTGGCGGTGAAGGCACTGGATCCCCCACTGCAGACTGCACTGTTGGAGTCCTGGACCTGGCAGCTTGAAAATCACACAGGACCTGTGTGCGAGCATACCCAAAATCTTGAGAGGAGAATGGAAGTAAGAGAAGGGACTGCAGTGTGGCCACCACCCCCTCAGCAATTGATTTCTCTTTCTCCCTCTCTCTCTCCAGCAAGTGTACCCACCCTGTAGCAAGTAAAGTAGGATAAAATCTAAAAAAGAAAAGAAACCAGGGAGTGGGTACAAACAACAGATTAAGCAAAAAGATGAATTGGATTAGTAGATACCACAGGGACATGACTATTCATTCCAAAGATGACTTTGTATTCATTTGGCAGTATGAGATCAGAACAGTGTGTAATTTCAGTATGTATAGTATGAATAAGAACAATGATAAACCAGCTATGATTAGTCAGTTATTTTTATTTCAGAGGTTTGTATTTTCAAAGTATTAACTATACGATAAGATCCCATTAGATAGGATCCCGTTAAACTGCAGTTTTCTCTCCCCCAAAGCCCTCCAACCAGCCAGGGTCATGGGCATGCCTTGGTACGCTTGATATGTTCAGGGTGACCCAAGACCCGAATCACAAGCCTTCCCACATGACTCCGCAATAGCACCACACTACCTGCACCACCACAGAAAATTACAACTTTAATTATTCTGGTTTTATTCATATTCACATACATACAATGATGCTTCAAAAAATTTGTGGAAAATGTAATTAAAGTATGAATTTCTTTGGGTTCAAAAAATTTTCATGATCTAGGGACCAGCAGTTAGCGTAATGGCTATGTAGCTAGACTTTCATGTAGTCGACCGCAGTTTGAGTCCTGGACCAGGTAGCTTAAAACTCACACCGGAGAGTGTGCATACATGCCCAAGATCCCAAGAGGAGAATGGAGGAGAAGGGATTGCAGTGTGGCCCTCCCCAGTAGGGAGTGATTTCTCGCTTTCTGTCTCTCTGTCTCTCTCTGTCTGGCCAGTGCACACGCCCTATAGCAAAAACCTCTCAAAAAAATTTTTTTTCATGATCCACTCATAGTTTTTCCATAATATTTATTTTCCATGAACTCTTTTAAGACCCCTAGTATTATTAAAAGGCATAGTTTCTTAGACTATGCTTTCCTAAATTTTCCTAACTATACATTCATATGTGTATGTGTGTGTGTGTGTATAAATACTTTACGTGTGTGTGTGTGTGTGTGTGTATAGTTCGTAAATGTCCAGAAAGGATACTTGTGCTTAGAGGGTAAATAAGGAAGAGAAGTCTGGGTTTGAGTTTATACATATGTATGTTTATGAATTCGTGTGTATGTTGGGGGTGGAGGAAGGAAGGAAAAAAAGAAAAGAGGGAGGAAAAGAGAAAGCCATAGTATTTAGTAATTTTTATCAGAACTCTCACTATTTCATCAGTTTTTCCTGTATTGAGCTGTAGGTAATATACCATTGTTCATTCTACCAATTGACATATCATTGGAATTGACCACTCACCCAAATCAAACAAAATTTTCAGTTTTAGTAACACAAAAAATTCACAAAAGTTACATGAAGTAGACCTTACATGCTCTTGCAAGCATGATAGAGGTAACTTGCTGAAAGTCCTTCCCAAGCAAAACAAAATTTAAATCTCAGGGAATTTTTTCTTTCACTGGCCAAAAACTCATCACAAGAAGTACCAGCCTGTTTCATTTCAAGATGTTTCCCTTACCAAGGAAGCGGAAGCGGTCATACTCTTTC